GATCACCAACCACACTCCAGCCGAACTTGCTCGTCTGTCCAGCTGAAAGCAAAAGTGTTGCTGTCTGAATGCCTTTCATCATGTATCATTTGAAACGAATACTAAAATTGAATGTGCATAAATGAAAAACCGGTTTCTTCCACAGCAGTTGCACCGGCATGAGACGGATTGGATCTGTATTTGAAACTCTGTCCGTCTGTGATTTGCGTCCAAGCCAGGCAAGATTATTCGTCCCACTCCACTCTCACTTGGTAAATGCATAGTTCTGATGATGTGGAATAAAGAGAGGAGCTGTATGTGCACAAATAGTTGTGCAGCATTTCTGCACAAGATTCACCCGATGCATGCGTGAGTGAAACTGACCGTCAAACTGAGATTTTGTAAACTCTGGTCTCATTCTCTCTGGTTTTACTCGCACAAAAGAGGAAAACCGGTCTGGTCACTATTACATAAACACCTTTTCCTCTCAGAAGTAAATCTCTTTTATTCTCCCCTCGTTTCATTGAATTCCGCATTATGCACAATTCTGTCCCATCATGATTCATCCGGCTCTTTCGAGTTTCTTCCGTTTCCTACTTTCTTCCCTTTCGCTTTTACCAAACAAATAACCAGATTGCACAAATGCAGGTCCAAAATGGGCTTTGTCGACTCATTTTTTCCAGAGAAAAACTGGTTCTGTTGAATCAAAAAATTCAAAAGCAAGCCGTTCCCTATTTTCATTCAGTTCGATATAATTCTGGCTGTGTAATTGCAATGTCCGTTGTGGCGTCCGTTCATCTCTGGATAGTCACGATTTGAAACATGTAGTCTTGCATGACACAGACATAAGCTTCATGATGATGATGGTGATGGGCCAAAGGTATCATTATTATTAATCAGAGGCCCTGCATAATCCAGCCTTGTTGCTGTTTGGTCCTGACCCTGCCAAGACTTCATTTCATTGAAAGACGTTCTACTGACCAGACGGGGACAATTTAAGCAAAAATCCGAACCCGTTTTACTTGTTTCTTATTTGTAAAAAAATTGATCTCTATTATACAAATAAGCACCCAGTTTAGTGTATCTTGAAGCTGAAACAAGGTTCAAGTTGTTGGACAAAAAAAATATGGACCGGGTCCGAGAATTGAATGAACCGGATTTTTCTTGAATCACAAAAATATTCTTTTAAAAATAAACATTGTTAATGTTCATTGTGGTCAGTGATTGTATTAAATATATTTTTACCTCGTTCTCGACCGTGTTTTTTTGTGAACGTGAATGTGAACGAGAGTGATGTTTTATTTATTTTGAATTCCGCAGTTTCCGTTTTATCTGACTTCGTATTTATAAGGTCAGTTTTTATTTTTATTTTTTTCTTATTTTATTTCTATATTATTTTGTGTTGGCCACTAGCGATTTAAGGAATCAATACTCATAATGGAGATTTCTTTGGGAGGTAAGATATAAACCAAACTCAAAAGTTAATATTTGGCGATTTTATTTAAAATATAAAAATAAAATAGAAAAAGATAAACATAACGTTGGTATATATACATTACACACCAACGTATTTATGTATGTGCATGTGCACAGTGCTGAAAATTACTTTCTGTCCAATAGCTCAATCCAGAGAAAATGAGCTTGCTCTTTTTAGAGTATCCATAAACTATCAACTGTAGCGAATATGTGAGCGCAGGTGTGCGTGTAAGGAAAAGTTATAATGGCAGATAATGAATTGACTTGTTGAACTAATTTACAAGTCCAATTATCAGTGTCCATCCGTTTCTTGATTGTGAGCTTATTTGGTTACTAGTTTGGCTGTCCTAATCACGAGACAGATGTACAAAGTAGACTAATCCAGAATTGATGATTACTAATTAATAAGGGTTCACAGTCTTTGTTATAAATTGCACTATTAAAAGTATGCGTATATTTATCATAATGATCAAGATAAGAAACCTGAGGAAAACAGATGTATGTGCATACGGTGCATGGTCGTCTTTTGAGACCCCGTTTCTTCACGTTTGACAGAATTTTATTAGAATTTGTGCCATCTTAATTTCTGATTGTATCTAATTAAAATGGTGATAACGGAACTGGAACGTATGGTCATAACCATCATTCCTAATAGCAAATAACATCTCCATATTCTCGTAACCCAAAGTAATGTGACACTTCTTAATGCCGCATTTATCAAGAATGATAATTTAAAACAAAAGTAAGTCTCATGTTCCTCTTTCTTCGTTGTGTTTGGGTTAGCAGAAAGAGACAGACGGGGATTTGGGACGCAATAATGTTTCATTTCTGCAACAAGATTTATCCCCGTTTCATAAAGGAAATGAGTGGGACCGGCAACAACTTTGCACGGCAGTCGTCGTCGCCTATCTTTTCCTGTTCCAGATTATTTCTTCATCTATCTCGCCGGTTTTCTGTGGGATGCCAGGAAAGCAGGCATATCAGCAGTTGTACATTAAAGTAATGTAACTGAATGTGGTTAGCCCATCTTGTTCTACAACACCAGAGAAACCAACAACTCTCGGCTGCTAGGAGTCGCATCTTTCTACTCACACACAGCGTAGTTAGCGGTATAATAAGACTTACTACGCGTATTACTTATGCAGCAATCTCTTTCCTATTACTTTCACTTTCTTCTCCAAACAGCCAAATCTGTGCATCCCACAGGGTGATAAAATGCCGGATTCCCTAAAAAGTTAAAGACTCATTTTACAAGATTTACGAGCCTTTTAAGAGGCAAAATTACACGATATTAAAAAGAAATTCTAACGGGGCATGAAATGGAAGTGCATAGCTCTCCTGTTGTAGTCTGCCTATCCTTGAATAGCTGCACGGACAAAGGCGGCAGGGTCCCGTGGCGTAGTCTAAACTTCCTCCTTCATTGGCGTAATGGTTTTTATACATATTTTGCTCCACAGCTCCTCCATTTCGAAATTAATTTTTTGAGAGGGAATAATAATACTAATATCGCCATAGGGTTGCAGCTCCAACAGTCCAATCTCATTTCACTGCATAAAATGAAGCTGATTAAAAACTTTTCCTCCATTTTCTCAGAGAATGGAGGAGCCGGGGAAGAGGGTGAGCATTGAGGGGACGGGCTCTAATATATTTCATGAAGATTCAGCGTTTTTGTGAGTTTTGCATAGAAATGCAATTCTTTAATTTTCTCCCCTCTCGCTCTCCTCCTTCTCCGACTCGTGGAAATTTTAATATCGGAATCCCAGACGGTGAATAAATCAGTTTTATACAAAACATATCATAACTTTTACTTTCGTAATACATAATCATATCAAGTTTCCTCATGATAAAAATTCCCATTGTTAACTAGATTGGGTAGAAAGTTTGTGACTTTGTAAAATGCTGAAAGTTTGTGAGGGGAAGTTATCCAGCCCAGTTGTATCTTTGACGTTATTAGAAGTAAATGTTATATTTTTCCTATTAGCTCTCCCCACTCGGAGTGGAGAGATGTATGCAGATCGTTTGCTTGAATTTACTAATTTGGAGTCTTCTGCTGGAGAAAAACAAATTAAAAATATGCATGAACTCATAGCCAACAGCACCCAGAGCAAATTGTGTCTGGAAAGAAAGCCTGGAATGAGAATGCGTGTATAATAATGAGACTCGTTCCCTCCCTTCTCCTAAAAACAACAACAATTGACTCATCCCAATCAGACTCGGGATCATGAGTGGGTAGTCTTGGAGGAAAATTGCAGATAGTTTAAAGTAAACTAAAGAACCGGATAGAAAGAAATGGTAGTGATGGCAGTGGAGGAAGGGGATCTCTCAAGATCTACTTTTAGTTTATAAATAGAGTCTCATCCTATGTATGCATATGTAAATGCCACTTAATTCAGCCAAGTATAATCTCCTGTAGACCTGAGTCCCTGGTGGACTAGGAATATATTTACGTGAAACGTGTTTTAGAAACGTACATATTTACATGCGTACAAGGTGTATGTGAAGAGAAGATATGTACGTATGAGGAAAAGAAAATGCATGCACATATTTTTATATCATATTTTTATATCATAAAATATTTCAAGTAAATCCTTAACTGGCTGAAGTGATTATTTTATTGCTTTAAATTCTCATAAATTAAATTTGAGGAACCCAATTTGTTTCTCGCCCCGTGTTAAACTTGGAGTGGGAAGTAGTGACAATGGATTGATGGAAATGTGTGCCCAAATGGATTTCGAAAGTTTCGACACAGGGTGATTGAACGATGAGAGGCGGCTGGGAGGGTGGGTCGGCGGGAGCAGGGAGAGTTTGAGCTCGTCACATCACTGCATTAATAAGACTAATGCCCCTTTCCTAAAAGTAAACTTTTAATTACAAATTTTAATTAGGAAGAAACTTGCAGCTTTTTCTAGCAGGCCTTCTTCTTTGATCCCCTTTCTTTCTGGGAAGTGAGAGGAGGATGGTTCAGCCTTCACCCACCCACTCACGGAATTTATTGTGAGCTGGGTTAAAAGGAAGAAAGTTGCCTGGCATTTTAAAATTACAGAGTTCATGAGATTCTCTTTTATTTCGTAGTCTGCTGTTCCCTCATCTGTTTCCCTTCTTTTCTTGTCCTGTTTTGTGTTGAGAGATGAAAAGTTGTTCGCCTTCTCTCCATGAACAAAATTTCCTTCCTAGCCTTATTTTTTTAGCGTCAAATCCAAACTTTCACCAGGCGGAGAGAACTGATGTTCAAAGAAGAATGCAACTCCTTGTCATTAAGTGCTCAAGGCAATCGTACTTCTATGATGTTGCATACACATATTGGAAAAGGGTACGTATGGTGAAAGTGCATGTGGAATGAGGAGTATAAAATTAGCCTCGAAATGAGAAACGCTTGCTTGCGCTGCACCTTTGATGTTCAGCAAAGTCAGTGCACTTAAGAGAATCTCTCCAAAAGGAAACGAATCTTGAGGCAACAAACTTCATGCATAATTTAAGAGAAAATGTGAGTTGTTCAAAGCAAATTCAATTGTCGTTAACAGTTTCAATCTACTCCGCAGCTCTTGTTGCAGTTATTTTATGAATTCATTTTATTCTGTACAAAAAATTACTATAATTCCAAGTTGATGCTGATGGTATATGATAATTTTTTATGTATGTCAGTTGTTGTTATCATGCACATAATCCCAATCTGAATCCAATTCATCCATACCGGGCTCCCTCCCTCCCCTGAAACCGTAAAAGGCGCTGGGGCCCTGCCATTGTTTGTTTTCCTGACCGGGTTGAAACCTGTTTGGTGGTCCTCGATTGGGCGGAATGAATAAAATCTTCTTTCCGCGATTGTCCTTGTTTGCGTTGATTTCTGGTGGTGGTGGGGACGAGTTTTTCATTCCGCCCCCACTTGCCGCTGATGATGACGAAGACGACGACGAGCATCGAGGGGTTTGGAGGACTTCTCCTTTTTCGTTCACCATTCCCATTCCGTTGTCCTTTTGTTTCCCCCTCTTCACTACGTCAGCTTCGTGGATGATGCGGATCTTCGTGGTAGATGCGTTGGGAATGAATTTGACGTACTCCTCAATGTTGCGCACTTCAGTGGGTTGGGCCATTTCCGGATTGTTGTATGGCCTCCTGTCGAAAGGGTAGCCCATTGGGCGAGCATCGGGATATTTCTCGTTCAAAATTCCGCAGAAACTGAGAGCGTCCTTGCATGGCGGCTTGAGGGGAGTTGGACCGCTTCTTGAGTTTACGGCGTCCTTTTCCCAATCGGTAACTATTGCGAAGAGGTCAAACTGTGTCCCAAACGGAGTGCCTCTAGGCAAAAGCAGGTGTTGAGGCCATCCACATCCGCATCTGCTTTGATCGTCTCCAGTTCGAAAGTCATCGCGTTGTTTGTCGCGATTCAACTTTTCCAAAATGTCGAAACTTGCATCCATTTGAATCGTAACTGATGAGTCCAAGGAAGATCGCTCAATGGTATTGTTGCCGGGCTTCACTGAAAGAATTGCAAATATTGCAAAATTAGTTGCAACTATGTTTCCTATAAATTTACACTGCTCACGTACGTTTAGTTCCAAACTTGTCCATTTCAAAATATAGTAGACGTTGTATAGTCAATCGGAAAGGATCCCCGTGTTCATCATGTCGTGGAGCCATAAAAATTCGAACTGTGGCTTGTACTGGTTTAGTACTATTATTTGTAATCTAAAATTTGCAAGTGCAACATCGTTTGAACAATTGCAAAATCAAATGCAATAAAACAGTAATAAACCTGTATCTGATACTTGAATACATCATAATTCAAGTGAGTAAAAGTAGCCAGTACCGGACCCCCATTTCGAGCCTCAGTGCGATAGAAATCCAAACCTCGAGCTAAATCAATATCCGATTGAGCCCAGTGTGTGGATAGCTCATTTTCCTTAAATTTTGAATTCGAGTTGATCACTTTCATGGATTCAATCTTGATGCCGTCCCACTTCAAAGCCCACTTTCCCTTTTCCATAAGTAGGCAAAAATTCGTTAAAAACAGAAATTTTGAAATGTAACTTTTTCAATGAGCTTACTTCATTCAACTTGTATTCGTTCAAAGTTCGTTTGTACTTGTCAAACATGTCATCCAAATATTTATGCCATCGGTAAAACGCAGGATCTCTCATAGCAGTTGATGTATCACCCATAGGACCGACGAATTCTCTGAATTTTCCAGTGGGATCATGAGAGAAGGCAATGAGAAGGTGACCCATATTGTGGAACCCATCAACCCCATAGTACTGACGGTGTGGAGAGTCTTGAGAATTTTCAATAATGTCCCCCAACACATCAATCCCAGTGTCTTCTGTAAGTTGCTCCCGTTTATCTCCTACGTCGACTTTCTACAAAAAAATATGCTCAATTTTAACCTCATTAAGTGGAAGCTAAACAAATATTAAATCAGCACCCGTATTATAACCCCAGTGTCAATCGTTTCGAGAATCCTATCTCGCCATCTTTTTAGGTCTTCAACTTTCAAATCAATATCAATCAGCAATTCATCATTTGCTCCCACCAAGTTCTAAAATAAAAATTTTACATAAGTCATCGTAACGAGTAAGTCAATCTGTAATTTTGTGCATCTTTCACCAAACTTACCACAAGTCTTGTATTTGCTTGTCGTGTTCCCCAGTGCCTAAAATATGTATTTTATAATGGATTATGGATAAACCTTTGTACATTTGTCATGAAACAAACGTTTGTAACTATAATCTTCAGGTTTGTTTGTTTATACATACCTTCCTGCATTTGTAGAATACAGCTTTCCGAAATATCCTTCCTCAATCACCAAATTGTCAAAATCCAATAACTTTGTTCGAGCTAATCCATTGCAAAGTCGTTCAGCGTCATATCGTGAAATCATCTGCGAGATGATTAAATGCTTAAACGGTGCAAAAATTAATCCTCACATTCAAGAACTTACGGAATGATGCATATAATAAAACAACTCTCCACGCCGGTCCCTTTTAACTTCATTACGAAGTCCATAATCGCCTGGAAAGACGACGTGCCAATGAAAGTGATGGCTATTCACTCCAATGTCTAAATGCATTGGAAGATTAAAATCATAACAAGATGAACCATTAAAGCATATAGAAAAATATTTATGCTCATGAAAAATCTGACATGAAAACTTTACTTACCTTCACGAAAGTACCACAAACGGCTTTCGGGGTCATTTTGATGACCGGTCGTATTTCTGTCAATCATGATTCGATTCTATACCCATGAAATTTTTAATCAACTAAAATCATAACTAAATTATTTTACTGTTCCTAAACTACCTTGCAACTGTCTTGAACTCTTGCCATTTTCTCTGCCTGCTTCATAATATGGTCAGAAAAGAAAATCTCAGGCATCACCTCGTAAAAGGCAGGCATGCTGAATTTCTTTGTGTCACGTCGATTCGCCAAGCAACTACTGAGAGCATTTACAAAGAGGAGAGGATGCACCATTTGATTATCCTGTAATTAGGGATTTCGTTATCTTTTAGTGTTTTAAATTCTCAAATAAACCCTTCAGTTTTAAGATGAGTATTGCTAACCCGACAAAAACAAGCCATGTTAAACAGGTCGGACGTAGAGTTTTGGTCTAGAAATTTAAAAGACACATCTCTTGATATGGTACCTTTATCTGCGAGAAGTAATAAGTCAAGAAAATACCCATCAAAACATTCCTCAGTGAAATGAGGGCTTTTCTATGGTTTGGAATAAAATGACCGAACAATCCACCTGTAATCAATTAACACACTGTAGATGTATGAAAACTGTGCATAAATAGGTGAATTGTGTACTTTTTGGGCAGAGTTTGCTGATTTCCTTCAATTCCTCCATAGGCATTTTGCCAGGCATTTGAATATTGATGGTTTGCTGAACTTGGCCCATCATGGTTTCAGTCGCGGCAGCCATGGCCTAAAGTTATAAATTATAAAATTAGAGAATTATAAGGAGGAAGAAACTCAGTATATGATTTTCAACTGACGGGCTCCATTGTCGGGCTCCTGTAGTACACCATGTTTTCACCAGATCCCTTAATTCCGTAGCCCAGGGGCTCGCTCATACGCTCAAACAGGTACATGAAATCCCGTTGAAGTTGGAAATCACTCATTGAGCTCATTTTGATGAAATTTTATTAAAACCTCGGGATATTATTTGTACTGGACTAGTGCTTAAGTCGAATCAATTTTATGAAGTCCACTCCACACACCACAATCCCAGTCACAGGAATAAATTACAAAATTACAAAATCTTTAAAAATATATGCATGTGTAAATAGATAGGTGTCGTAATGTACATATTTAGGTGATAGTATTGTTATTGACCACCATTGGTTTCCGCTACTATTCTACTAATTTGATAACAATAATTAAGTTAATTGGTAGAAACAACCGCATTAAAAAATGCAGTGGTTTACCTCCTGTGATATACCGACATCGTATTAATTTATGCATTAATAATTTCCGACAATTTTACATCTTGCATATTTTTTTTACTATATCTTTATTTTAAATTATCATCGGTTATAAATATCGGGCTCTGCGTAACTGGAAAGTTCATCAACTTTTAGAGAGCATATTACACATATTTGGGGAAGATGTTAGCAAAATATCGATCCTCCGTTGCGCCGTGGAGAAGAGAGTCCATAATAAAAACAAGAGTCTGGTTTAGCAGGAGAAGCGAAGAACAAAAAACGGAGGCATAAAAACGATGAGGAGGAAAGAACGTGGGGCTGTGCTCAACCTTTGCTTTCGAATTCATATCACAACAACCCGACTTTCCCGACTCGAGCAGTAGGAACCAAGTTAAGTTGGTTGGCCGGGCATGATTTTTCTCCCTCGGAGCGTGCATTGAATTAGGAAAACAACCTTTGGAGGGAGAATTAGTGGCCGTGGCAGTAGGAGGAGGAGGAGGGAGAGAGCCATATTTTTCCCTTGTCACAATTTGAGAAAAACTCCACCCGAAAAAATTGATCCAACTGCTGGACCAATGATGAAACATCTGCTGCGGAATCGATTTCCTGCTCGCCATTTTCTTCCCACTTTTTATCCCCCAACTTTCTTTCTTCCCAACTTTTCTACTCAACTTTCACATTCGCCCATCCATCCAGCAGCTCTCTCCTCGCTCTTTACCATCTCTCTCTCCACCCTGCGTATGTATGAACGTGTATGTTTGTTTATTTGGCCACACTTTTCCAGGCTGACTGTAGCGGCTCTTTGACGTAGACGATGCCTTTCATCTCTCAACTACTTCTTCTTCTTCTTCTTGGGCACATTTAAATTAAATACAAGACCGAGAAGCAGAGTTTTGATTTTGTGCTCAAAGCTTCAAAAGTTCTTTTATCTCGGATCCTGAGACATTCAAAACGAAGCGAGGTTTTGTCTTTGGCACTGTTTGCAAAACAAACTTTCGAAACTTGGAATTTTAAAAGAAAGACGAAAAGTTTATAATACATTGTCTGGCGCTAGGAGGGCTGTCTCAAGTTGTTGTAGTTAGTTCGTTAGTTAGCAGGCCCTCTTTCTCTTTTCAGAATAAAATTACTTTTTATACGCTGATGCCAGCAGCGTGCATGTAAAATAGGCGTCTATTCAGACTCTATGTTATACATACATACATACAACCTGGAGTATATGGGTGTCTTTTTGATTAACGTGCCCATCTCAGAGTCTCGGGTTGCCAATCTATTTTGCTGACGGAGGCATTAAATTCCTGGAGGCGGTTGAAGTTGTTCCTGTAGCACAAATGTAAAGCGTCCCCGTCGTCGTCCTTGGAACAGCATGAACGGAGCGTCGGAGGCAGTTAAACTATTGTGAAAATAAAACTAAGAAATCAGAAGCCTGAAATTTGCGAGAGGAGAAAGTGTAGAACATTTTTAATGAGAAGGAAAGACGAGACATATCATGTGAACAAATTACTGATTACAGAGGAACAAAAACCCTTTCATTTACAACTTGTTTGGTCAAATTTTGCCGTTCGTCTCAGAGCTCTCAGAATTCCGTATCGTATTCATGCCAGAGTTGAATCCCTGACTTTCGACTATATGCATATGTATATTCTCCATGCAATGACTATTCCTCGACTTTGAGGAGAAAATACAAGCATTTTATTGTGAAAAGCTATAGTTCTTTGCAAGCTTCAAACTCGTTCAAGTCTTTATTTCTCCAGCCGAACCGAGTCTTTGTGTAACAAGAATGTTCGTTGAAAATTCCTCAAAGTCGCCGAATGAAATCCTGGGTATTACTTGTATACTTTAATTTAAAATACATTGAGCCACGCTTCACTAACTGCATCGCCAACATTGTTGTGATATGGGCATATGTACCTCTACTTGTCTTCCTGTGAACTCGTTTGTGACTGGAAATACTCATCGCGTCTTCTTATATTAAAATTTTGTTAAATGAACCTTTTTCTCTTTTAACACGATATAATTTTCTCGCGAAATGAGGAAGTGTAGCGTGCTGTCTATTTCTATCGCCTACCTACATACATTTAGATATTAATTGCAGAGTTGTACATATAATGAAATACTATGAAAATAATTTTGACATTTTAATTTAATTCCTCTTATGAGTCAAAGGCAATCAATTGAAAATATGAAAAATATCTTGGAGTCATACCATATGCTGTCTTATCATTATACTTACGATAGCTTTATTGAAAAAAGGGAAAACAAAAATACAAAAGGTACTTTATTAATAATTATTGTTGTTTGAACTTCTACGACACCACAAAATAAATAAAAAAAAGCGAGTGTTGCAGTGTCGGACGACCCTTATTTCCACTTCACACTTTATGTAATTGGTGTTTACTTAAGTTTTTTTCACATCTTTGCAACAAGTTTGTTTATGGATAATTGAATAGAAGGGTCTAATTCAAAAGGGTACTCTGACACAAAGTGATCTACCTCTCGTCATTCTTTTCTCGTGGCCAGTTGAGTACCACATGAGCCACTCAATCATCCCAACATTTTTTATGCCGCTTTTTCTTACATCATCGGTTCCATAAGGTTAAAAACGAGAAGGTTTGCTCCATTGCACGCTGGTCCGGAATACTCAATTTGTTGGCCAAAACCTATTCTCACCAATCCGAAAACAAAGTACCGTCTTCAGTACCATAGATTAGATTAGATAGATAGATTTGACATAGATGTTCAATTTTGGAAAGTTTCATTTGAATTGTTCCACTGGTTATGGCGTTGCGTATGCCTAAACTTGCCTTGTAACATTGGGCTAAATGGGAAAAACTTCAAGTTGAAAATCCTGTCTAGTCCTGTGGTATTTCGAGGAACCATCAATGTATTATTAAACCTTTACATCTCATCTATGAAAACTGCTGCCCCTTTTTGCCCCTTTTGCAAATTGACAGAGAGATTTGGATTTATGTAATAGCAAATTGCCGTAAGCAAAATATCTGAAGTGCTCCAATCATTGTCACGTATGAAATTTTCGAGTGTTCCAAATAACACAATCGCTTCAAAATATATTGCCTATTCCTTGGGGAAGGAAATATGGTAAAACAAACCCCTCGAAAAAATGTATTACGAGCGGGGGAATTTTATAAAGTGGTGGCCCCCTGAGGAGGCATAACTAAATTTATAATTTTGGTCTAATTTTCTTTGTTAATTAAGTTAGAGAGAAGAAATACTTCATAAAACTATAGAATATTGTCATTTCATGAAAATACATCTTCAAAATTATCGAAACAAAACTTTCAAATTTGTGTTTTGACCACACCCCCTGGCAGTTGGTGTGCCGATAATGTTTAAATAATAGTCGGAGTTGTTTAGAGCTTGATCAGACCTTTCAAATGACACCCCACTTGATTAGGTAATGCGAGAAAATAAATATGGACCTGAGACCACACCCCCAAGAGGGGGTGGTGGTCAGTTAAAGCTGCATTACTAACTCCCCTTGGAACTTCATATCTCCATTCCCAAGGCAGAATTCGAAAAAATGGAATGGTTCGAGAGCTAGAGGTTTTGGCAAGCAAATAAAGCAATCCGGACCAGTGTGCATTGTGTTAACAAGATGTTGATTTATTATTCTCTGATATTGGGTTTTGTGCTCGTTGAGGAAAGAAGCAGTTTCTGCCTGCATGAAGGGTTAGAACATAAAAAAGACCCGTGTCTTATGAGTTTTATCCGGGATGTGGTATTTCGTTGCGGTCCCACTCGCCTAATTATCACTTTTGAGCCAAAGTAAAACACTGACTTGCTCGCATGCTGTATGCATTTTACTTGGGTTGCTTGCAAACTAACACCACCAGAAACCGCTTTGACGATGCCAATTGGGAGAGGATAACGAGGTGTCGCATTGATGATAAAATTGAAGCAAGTATGGCTATTTGCATTAGCCACACTGACAGTTGGTACTTGGTAGCGCAGGGAGATGCGACGGTGGTCCTTATTAAATTTCCTGGCTTAAGAATGTGTAAATTTAATCATGACAGATAACACTGTGACAGGAAGAAGTGGAAGATTTTTCATCTTCTGACAGCCACCTCCACCATTACGCAGTCTGCGACGTTAAACAAAGGGCTGCATGAGCATAGGGTTGGCTGCTGAATTGGCTGGTGTGCAATGAGTCAGAACGCAACTTATCTTTTCATTCAGTATGTATAAAGAAAAAGAAGCCTCTGGAGAGAAAAGATGGGAAGACCTACAATTTCAACGCTATAGCGGAGATACTGCTGCTTCTGCATATCCGAAAACTTGTACCCTTTCTTCCTCGCCCTCACATTATACATTCTCACTCCAATTCGCCTCCTCTTATTGTGTTCTCTGGAAGAAGGGATCCCAACACCGCTGCCCGGGAGCCAACCTCGCAAGAAACGGGAAGAGTAAATACACAGGGAGACAAAGTTGAGTTTAGCAGCTTAAGCCCCGACTGGAATAGAAAAGTAGCAGGAGCGTGTTTAATCATGGGACGACGAAGATGGCTTAATGTGCAAAAGATAGCGGAGGTGGTGGGGTGTTATTATGCAGCAGCAGCTCCATGTAAAAAAAGATCCGGGATGAGATCCTCTGGGGAAATTATGAGACGGTTTCACCTTTTTTGCTCATCTGTCTCTCTTAATTAAAGCCATCGAGAAGATTCATTGCTTATCTGCTTATCAATCTCATGTTTGCTCTCTTCTTACATTTTATCAGTTTTTAATCACATTAGAAAATGTAATCAAATTACGCTTCCGTAATATGTAAGTAAACGAATTTGGCTATATTCAAATCATATAGCTTAGAAATAGCCTGCTTTTTCTACAAAATTTTTAAATACGATCTTATTCTAATGAGCGTCCTCAAACTGAGGTGCAGAAACAGTCCACAAGATGACATGAAATGTCCTTGCTCTCCTAAACCCAGTACAAGAACCTGATATAAATTATCTGCAGACCAGGCAGGACCGTTGGTAGATGGGTTACTCTGACGTATAATTTGATATGAAATAGTGCATCATTAGAGCGACTTGTCGCACTCACTTTATGATCACGTTCTGTTGAACAGAGTCAGCAAAGCTTGAGATTATTGAGTGTGGTTCATTGTATGCAAGCACAGATGGATTTGGGCTGTACATCGGGAAGGAACAACGAGATTCGTTCTGCATTCAGTTTTTACAGTGTACTGGTAACTAGTTCTCTGTACCATGATACAGGGAAATCTAGTAGTTGTTCAATAAAATAATAAATGCCAGGGTAAATTAAGACTAAGTAAATGCATACCAGGCATGATGGAAATCTGGCCAAGTTCTTCCTGCTAGGCACATACATACAAAGTCTACAAGCGTATGTATACCAAGTATTTTTGTGCATGAGGTTAATTCTTGGTTGTCAAATTAAATCTCATTACAACACGTTTCATGAAACACAGCAAGTAACCAATGAGTGATGGGAGTGTGAATTACATGCAATTTTAGGCACGAAAGGTGAGCCATAATTTTCGAAAAATGAAGAGTTGATAAATGGAAAATAAATCGCCGGATCTCGTCACTCACTCGCCTGTAATAATAATACCTGGCAATTTTGGTAGTACTTAGTAATACCCAAAGCTGGACTCTCTGCCCAGTAATTACCAACACACACACTACACACACAATAATACACATGTACGCGTAACAGCGCATCACAGTTATCAAAAATGGACCAGCTAAATACATTCAACCGCGGTCGGTTTGTTCTCATCTAGTAAAAAACAAAATCCAACCAGCTCAATTTCTCCCATGCAATTTTGTCTAATGATAAAGTTATACAAATACAGAAGCAGTTGGCAGGTTCGTTCGAACATGGACAACTTATTACTCCTCTTGGTTTGCTATTGTTTCGCTCATCGTAAAAAATTTGAGAATAATTTCACTCCTGATTGTTACGGCTGCCGTGGCGCACATAAGAAAATTTGAGTATTTAACAACCGTCGTGATACAAAGGTGTGTCTGTTTATTTCATACGGCGTTCATTAAAAACGGACTTTAATCGTACTAAACATTACCCCGCAATTAAAAACCATAGTCGGGTTGGAGCTTAACAGAGTATCAACGAAATTATACTCGGTCGCTTCCCTTGTTGTTTGTCTTATCAGTTTCCATAAAAGGACTGTAAACATATTATTGGATCGTATAAAATGTAAAACCAGATTGGCTGTTGATTTACAGCAGATTTTAAAGAGTCGTAAACCAAACAAAGGCTGACTACGTATGCAGGTAGATATGCATGTGAAAACTCTGTGTGTAGACCGAGACGGGAAAGAATAAGATGCTCAAGATCGAATAAAATAATGAGCAACAACGGATCACAATATTTCTCAAATTTTATTATGCAACTTACTTTTATACGGCTGGAAGGTTGATTAAATTGAAAGCAGACAGGTTTGTGGATTCGACTACTAATATTAAGCTTAAAACTCTGGACATGTATTTAAATATGTGTACATACATAAGCATACTACATAATTATATGATGCTAAATATGAATAAAAATGGTTAAAATCATAATGATTAAAGTTAATAAGCATGCATAATATAGATTTCCTCTCTTGTTTAACTAGATATTGCACTTCCTTGGTCACGTACTATTTTATTGCATATTTACATTTCGAGAAGTTATCACACCAACTGCCAACTACTTACCTGCCTGTATGCACTCCGTGTACAGATGATACAAGCTAAGTAACCATTCGAATTCAGATTAAGCAGGATTTACAATGAGTTAATTGCTACACGGTCTAAAAAATAAACCGGGTTGGGTGCTTCGCAGCTCAGCTCTGGTTTTGGTGTGGCCATTAAGTCATTAAGAATAAGAAATGATAAATTACTGCCCACATGAGGAATCATGCAGCAAGAGTTGTAATACATTGGTCAAATTAAATTCAAATAAATTATAAATAAAAAAGGAATGAATTCAATTCAAGTCTAAAGATCACTTTAATCATTCATTTCATTCTAAGTAATTGTACCTGCTGGCGTCCAGACCTTCCGAGCTGAGCAACCTGATACGAATTTTATCAGTAGCGTTGAGTAGATTGTATCGGTGGATTGATGGATGCATAACTGTCATTGTCTTCGTTTGGTCGTTTCATCAGTGGCAGAGAATCGTCTGACGAGTGAGCGAGTGCATCTTCTTACATAAATATTCGACCAGGGTCAGAGATGAGCAGTGAGTGACCAGCAAGTCTTCTCCCCACTGAGCGCATAATAACCGATATTAAGCATATTTATACACACCCCGGACTGTGCTTGGGAAAAAAGTTTGAAAGTCTCATCATCAGACCATCCTCAATTAAAGCTTTATTAAAATCTTGTTCTTTCTTTAAATAGGTTCACGTTTGCCCTCAATTTTATCTGATTTAAAAGTCAAATCATTTCATGTGTTGAGCAGGGTTCGGTCAGTTTCGATACATTAATTTGATCTGTACTATCAAGTCAAGTCAGACTTTAATCTCTTCCCCGTTAATGCATCGCCCACTATTAAATAAGTATACCTGATAATTTGAAATGTTAGTTTTTTAGTAGCTCGGCCAGCTTTGCTTGTAAGATGGATAATTAATTCCTTCCAATTTTCCGCTGATTGCCATATTAAAAAATTCTGATTTAAATATGATCATTTGACACCTTACGTGATATAATTGGCTTAATTGCATTTATTAATTGGTTTTAAACACAACAGTCATATAAACACCTTCAATTATCACAAAAAGTTCAACAAGACTCTGGTATTTGTAAATGCATAATCTTTCCATTTTTTTTCTAATTCGTGTTATATAATTCGTATTATATAATCCATTCCATATTCTTATGAAGTATCAATTTGAAATACGCAGAGTCAATATTCAAAGTGACGAAACCCGAGTTTTCTATTTCATACAGTTATGGGACATGGCTCCCAAAAAGAAAATAATAAAACTGGTTGGTTCACAAAGACTGGATCTGCAAGAACAAGTTATTAAGTAATCTTTGCTTGATCCATGTATAAATTTGCAAACTAGTTCATTGAGTTAATTCTGTAATAATGATTTTTTTTATTACAAATTCAAATTGGTTTTTAATTTTGTAGACATAATTTGGTAAAACTAATTTTTTTAATTCATTAAGCAATTAAAACGTGGATATATTTGTGCATGTGGATTGTCGAGGTGTACATATATGCATTTTTTATATAAAATACCGTCTGACGTTGGTAAAAATGAGTCTGGAGCATAAGATTGTCTGAAAATAACGAATAGATTTATCAGTCAGGGGTCCCTCACTCATGAAAATCAATGAAACCCTAAACCCTTTAGACTCAAGGGTTCAGTTTGATTGCTCTGCTCAGACAATTGTTGATTTTTTACCCGAAAGCTCTCTTTCACAACGGAGTAAATCATTTTTTGAGACGAAGCACGCTCAGAGTATTCAATCAGAATGAATGTATCCTACTTTTACATACCTCCACAGGGATGTTACATCTGTACCACTTTGTCAGTTTTTTTTATAACTGGAAGAATGAAACCGTTAACAAATGAGTTTGACTATGTGGAGAATTTTTATAAAAGTCAACCTGTCCCCTCAAGGCCCACCTGCTAAGTCGTCGTCCACCCGATCCATAAGCCTTCACTCACCATTCACTAAGGATACTTATGCACTAATATACTTCCCTAAATGTGATGATGGAACGCAATCTGGTTGAAAAGTTGAACGTCTTCCTCGTCCAGTCCGCTAAGGTCCAGTGTCGTTGGAATACGTAACATGCAAGTTTCATCATTTCTGTGCGGTGCTCAAATACATATATTCTTATCGTGTGTTATTAACCACATTTTACACTGAATTTGTCCCAAGGCTCCTTCAAAGTCACCTTCATCTCTGAACTCCCTCAAAGTCGCGTACTGCTTATGTAACCTCCAAAATTAATTCACCTTCATCCGCCTCCAAACTAAACATGAATTTTTATTTTGAATCATCTGTCAATGTCTGCATCAGCTTGATCATTATTAAACTGCCCACCGAATCTATAAAACATTAGAATCAACAACGAGAACGACCTCAATTTATTCAGAGCAAACGGAAGAAAGTTTTTGCCTCGTTGTTGTTCCATCAACCTCTGGAAATTTTTGATAGCCTGGAGAAATAAAAGTTTGTTTAAATAAAAGCAGATGAAATAAACATTTGACAATGTGATTGTGCGTGCGAAGCAATTCCGTGAGTGGGATGCTGCCTAATTTTATTCGTGGATTGAAACCACACACAACGATTCTCCATATTTTTTATTAATTTATTAACATTTTGTATCCAATTTGTGTACGAGTTTCATAATAATAACTGTGCACAGTAATTTGTGTATCTGGTACTATGTATCATATCAGGTACTTTAGGATAAAAATGTAAATTCAATGAACTTGGTTACTATGTGAAGTGCAGCGTTGTCACACGTGAACTCCACGTGGGGTCAAGAGAAGCAGTTTTTGCAGTAGAAAAATGGTGCTATAAAAATTATTTCGTGAGGATGATGCATAATGCATACCAATTTACTGACCTCAGATAAAACCAGTAAGTTCAATCAGAGAAACCCAGGTATCGAAGATGAAATACTTGCTAGAAAAAATTGGTGAGGCCAACACACTCGAACGAAGCTGTTAAAAGCCGAGTTGAGGCCTGCATCTATTAAATAAGCCAAAAATGCATTTTTAATGTGCAATAATTTTGCAATCTAGCAAAAGCTGTTGCTGCAAAAAGTCGTCTTTGCAACTCTGAGAAAATGTAGTGACAGCACTGAGAAAGCAAAGGTCATCCTCAAAAGAGGTTTGGTCACTCGGTTTATCATGCAGTTTTGGATATAGCGTGATTGATCAGAGATTTGGAAATCAGCAACTTGTATTACCTGCAATCTATGTCAACGATCTCTCAGATTACTTGAATCGATTTTTATAAACTACATAATGTCCATCACTGCGCTACTTTCTCACAACGAGGTTTGCCTATTATGAAATCCTACAGCGATTATGCAATTCTTATCGGATTTAAAACGTGCAAATGCTTTAACGTATTTAGATAGCAGAATATTTATGTGAAAACTTATCTCTTGAATTGTATTGCAATCTTACAATATTTTAGTTAAGGTTAGAAAACTATTGATGATCAGATTGTATTCTCAACTTCGCAAAACTACTTATTGCTAAATATTTGCATAACATAAGGAGAGTCCAGTGCAACCTCATTTGCTTATAAATGTCCAACTGACAACGTTCATTGAAAACCTGGCCTCTGTAAAGTGAATTTGTGCAAGGGGATGGGTTAATAATAATGAAGTGGAAGGGGTTTATTATTTCGTGGACGTGCAGTTGAATATAATTGAGATGAAGTCAAACTGGACAGAACAACTTTTCCACTTTTTGGCTCTATGCACTAGTCATGCATAATAACAAATGCCTTGAAACGACTGAGATTTGGGTTTGGAGTTTAGTATGGATTGCAACGTTGGTTGTTTGATATTTGTAAAAAAAAAGTTGAAATGATTCTCTTCATTGGAGATCAAATGAGTTTGGTGGGCATAAAAGCCAGGGAACGAACCTGACCTTGGCATTGGCACAACGAACATCACCATAATTGTCCATATGCGACTCTCTGTTTGATGGGGTTTCTTTTATATTAACGACTTTTCGACCATTCCTTGAAATGCATTGCATATGTAAAATATCCTACATCCATATGCACATACTTCCATACTTTCGACTTTGGGTTCAATATTTACATTATCTGCGTTTTTCATTGCATTCATTCACCAATTTATACAAAAATGTACATGCACATACACTTTGTGATATGTACAGGATCATTTTTGCGTAATTTGGCAGTCATCTGAAATGAATTCATTGATAGTTAGCTTGTCTTAATTATGTGGCCTTCAAGTTGTTATCCAGTTCTGTATGTTTCCTTGCTGCAGTCATTCAGACATCGAGATTGTTTTTTCGTCCAAAAATTAATGATACCAAATTATATGCATGCATACGTACTTTTTTGTGGGTACCTCTTTTCCAGATATCGGTTACTCGGTATTAATCCTGCATAAAAACAATGGATAATAATATAAAAAAGTGCTACATCCTCAATATAGAATTAATTGGATTGTTGGCTACTGCGTTGAAAATTGAATAAGCTGAAAAAATTAAGAAACTCAAAATTATTTCCGTCACGTTCCTTCATGTTAGTTTATGGAGCTACTGGGCGTGAAAACCAGAGTCCAACTAGTTGAAAGATCCCATGCTTTCCAGCTGCTAATTGGCTGACATACGATGAATTTTTGAATTTAGGTGTCTCACAATGTAAATTATGTTCCATCTCATGAATCAATTGCAAAATTAATTTGATTCCAAAATTACCATGCATTTATTTCTTGTTATTCTGTCGCTGCTACCTTTGAGTCTTGAAACATTATTAAGTTTATTTGTAAAGTGCGAAACAAGATTTTGACTTAAAATGAAGTGCATAAATTATTCTTAGTGCTGCTGGTGTGTGATGGGTAAGAAACTGAATGGCAATGAGGCATCCGCAGTCTAATGACCAGCAGCAACTGTGTAGATGCATGTGAGACAACCAAGATTCAGTTTTCCATTACAAACCAGGCGTAGATCAAATTCACCTACACAACTGGCTTGGCCACTTCTTTTTATTCAATTCATGTTATTGGAGTAACCACTGCACCAACAATTTCACCATTTCGATCTTTGCTGCACTCCCAGTCTCATTGTTGTTGATGTGCTCTGCGTTGTTTACCTGTAAATTATTCTTAATACATTGTTGTGGTTGGTGAGATTTTTATAAAATGCTCCTTGTTTGGCAATAAAATTGGAACCGGCCAGTATTTTATGCACTGTGGTGATCTCCTTCAAGTAGGTAAACAAGGATAATTGTGCATGCATACAACATTGTGCAGCACTTAGGAGTCTCTCAGTTTAACGTTTATAAATAATATGAGACCAATTTTGTGCAGTGCATTTGTGCGAAATATACTTGCACTTGTGATGTAACAGAATATACAATTGTATGTATGTGCATATTAAGTAGTAAAAACCCAGAGTGATTGAACGAGGGCGAGGAAGAAGGATTTTGGCTCAGTCTACAAGGTATAGCAACGTCAATTGTTTGCTTTTCTTTCCCAGGATCGATCGAATGTTGGCGTAGTGAGCAAATGCGTATAAAACATTTTTTGCATGTTTCCGAAAGTTGTACTCGTTGTACTAAATATTTAGTTGTTCTCAGAGTAAAATTATCGGTAGACACTTATTTTAACTGCCTGGTACTTTACACATAAAGAAAGTAAATATTGAAGCAAATGGGATAGATTTAACTCAAGATAATACCAAAATGTGTGCTTATCTCAAAACCACAAGATTTAGAAATTCAGAGTGAGCAATGTTCTAAGTTTTGCACTACAGAATTAAAACTAAATATGAAGTGGAGTTTGGTGTAAGAGTAGTTTTCAGTCCAACAAACGCATGGAAAACTTAATTGCATGTAAATATTGGGTACATAATATTTATTAGAAGGAAAGAAATTAATTTAACACCGTTGAAAGTCAATCCCATGTATGTAATAACACAACTCCTTAAATTCTCAAATTTTCGATGGTTCCCTTAAATTTCGATTCTGTAATGGAGGGCCAGTTGGTTAATTTGCCTTTTGCATAGATGTGCATATACGATGTGGGCATGAATTAATAAAATAATAGCTGTCAAAAAGACAACGGACGACGACATGATCAAGTTTCTCAGATGGATTTGAATATTGAGGAGAAAAGCGTAGCATATGTTGGGCAGAAAATAGGCGTGCACTTTCTGGTGGTCATCCAAGTTGTGGTAATATTCTCCATAAACGGTTCCCACTTCCATTACAACCGACTCAGACACTTTACAGAGGTATTAAAACTCTACTGTTTTTTGTCTAGAAAATTGAGACGGGTTTCGAGTTGATCATAACATTCATATTATTGGTTCCAACTACACGAAGTTTCATGTTTTGGTACAAATACTAACATTATTTTCTACAAACTTGGTTTTGTACATATTGTTATGAATATGCATGTAGTAGTGCAGAGCTGTAGGTCATAATTTGTCAATTCATCACAAAAACTACGAGCTGACGTTCTCTTTCCTCTGCAAGTCACGTCATATGCAGGTTCGCCTGACAAGTGAGGGACGTTGCCAACCAATTCTTACCTAAAAATTTACCTCCTTGTCTTAAATCTTTGAAGGCCGAAATGCACACAGATAGAGATGATTAGTCATTACGCATATCGTACAACACTTCACATCATCCATCTGGCTTGGCAATTGAGGACTTGCATCCTTTAACTTGATCAATCATCGAGTGAATTTTGTACACAAAATGTAATGTTTTGGCACTCTGAGCAAGTCTCCAAATACAACATCAATCCACATCTAGGAAACCCTACCACGCCAGAAGGCAGAGGAGAAATTCGATAAAAATGGACTGCCTAGTAAATATAATGCACTCGTACTTTCCTCGCTAGATATGGAGGTTTATGTACAATGTGCAAGTACATTTTTACACTTTTTTAGATCTTAAACCTCATTTGCCATTTACAGCTATTATAACATCAGTGGATGTGAATATGCATGTAAGTAGTTAAAAAATGGATAGACGCAATTTGTACGAAGAGGGCCACACAATTGATGTATGAGCGGAACCATGACTTTCTGGCACGGGCTGTCAAATTTCTCTCGCATGATCTTTGGTAGGGATGTAAAGTGGGGAGTAATTGAGAGAATGGGGAAACACGTGGAGAGGAGGAAGCACGGATAAAAAGAGTGTAAAAAGTAGGCAGCAAATACATAGTTGGCTTCCCTTCTTAGTTTTGCGTATGGTGGAGTTGGGGGAGTCGTGAAATGATGTAAGGCATGGCCGTCAAGCCAAGTGGAGTGCAATGTGTGGTGGTCGTCGTCGTGTAGCACGGACACATGCGCCTCCACTTTCTCCCACTCTCTCCGAAGACGAGGAAAGTCTTTCTTCTGAAAAATCCAGCGTATCGATCACTTTTTTCTCCCGGACTCTTTTCCTGGAGGTTTCCTACTCATTTCTTTCCTCCACGAAAAATCTGCCTCGTCTTCCTCGCTCCCGTTCCCCTCGATGTCGAAGACCCGTCGTCCTGAGTAGTTCGCCGCCATGACTCCACGCTCCCATCGTCAACTATCATTAAGTTCCCCTTCCCAATCAATGTCTCGTCTCATTCCCCTGCTGCCTCTTAACGTTATTATTTCCTTATAAAACGTCACATTAAAGCTCACCTTTTGTGAGAAATGCCAATTTTAGTTTCATTTTTTTTAACTGATAAGAGTAATACGACATGCTTTATATGTAGGTGTGGTTGTATATAGGAAAAATTATTGCCATACATAAATGCGAGAAATGAACAGCGGATTTGGATTAGTTAGACGAACGGATAAACGCAGGATGTTAGATATGTATGTACCTACGCATTTGTGTATAATGG